TTAGGGGTTGGTGAATCCTGTCATTTTGTTTTTATTCCTGGCTCATTATTTTTAAAAAGTAGGACATGAGTTCCCAACCATGTGATCTTCCCATTTCCAAATTTATTATTGGAGAGAGAGGTAAAACAGAATGCATAGATGTCCCTTCACAAGCTCACCCAGCAGTAAGACATGAGGAGGGAGACAGGGATGGAGGGAGGAGGGCTGCACAGGGAGGAAGACGGGCGAAGGGAGGAGGGCCACATGGGGAGTGAGACAGGGATGGAGGGGGGAGGACCACAAAAGAGGGGAGACAGGAATGGAGATGGAGAGGGCAGCACAGGGAGGAAGATGGGGTGGAAGGAGGAGGGCCGCATGGGGAGGGAGACGAGAATGGATGAAGGAGGTTTGCACAGGGAAGAAGACAGGAGTGGTGGGAGATGGGCATCATGAGGAGGGAGACAGGTATGGAGGGAGGACTATGGGCAGAGAGACAGGGGTGGTGGGAGGAGGGCTGCACTGTGGTTTTGAGGCACTTAAGCAGTTTCATTCCAAGGTGTTGTCAAGACTGCTAGTTTGTGAGGGGGCTGCTAGCTGGACTAAGTGTTTTGCATCCCAGTGATCTTTATCGCCACAAAACAATTATGTTCCTTTTGGAGATCCATCAGCAATGGCATTTGGAAAAATCAGGCATTATTAACTTTAAAACAACAGCCATGTTTTCTTTATTTCTATCAAGCGAAAGCTCAGGAGCATTCACCAAAGCCGAGTGTGTATAATCACCTAAACAAGGCTTGGATCGAACCTTCAAAATGTTATTGAAAATACTCCTATTTTTAATATAGATATCAACACCATGAGGCAATAAAAGCAGTGGTTAAATCTGTACTCCATGCCACATTCCTGGCAAAAAAAGTTCAAAATATGTACTGGCCAAAAAATTGCTCTCCAGTCTGTCTACGAACAGTGAAAAAAAGGCAAAGAAATAAACTTCATGGCCGTCATTACCTCCCTGTATTCAATAGTACTTTCCTCCACCAGCAGCTGTTCACAGTACTTGTGTAGTGTAGCTTCCTAGACTATCAACATAGATAATAAAATCTCATTGAACCCCCTGGCTCGGAATCGGGTATCACATAAGAAAATCTAACTATCAGGAGAAATCCTCAGTGACCACTATCCCAGCTATGTTCTGCATATCTAAAAGTTTGGTTAAAACATATTCTGATTCAGAATAATAACTTTCATGCATTGAGAACTCACTGAGTGCCCACCACTCTGTACTCCTTTGGCTTTTACAACACCCTATGATGTGTAGCAATCATTATTCCCATCTTATAGATGAAGACATTGAGGCACAGGGGTAAGAACTTAGACAAGGTCACATAGCTAGCAAGTGATGAAACCAGAACTTAGCAGTCTAATGCTGGCATGATGATGGCCATGCAGCAAGCCTCGTTGTGTGCTCAAGGGCCCTGACTCCTAAGCCACAGAGACAGGAAGCAACCATAGCTCCCCTAAAGCCCTGCCTATGTGCCTTTCTGTGAAGGCACTAGCAGCTCAGAAGGAATAGTTTCGTGAGCACTGGGTCATTATGACTGGCTATATGTAGGGCTCAATTATGGTTTTCATGGGTGCTAGCACTTTGCCTTTATGGTCCCTTCCGCCAATGCCTGTAATCCCAGCACTTTAGGAGGTTGAAGTAGAAGGATTGCATGAGCCCAGAAGTTCAAGACTAGCCTGGGAAACATAGTGAGACCTCATCTCTACAAAAATTTTTAAAAATTAGCTGGGTGTGGTGGCATGTACCTGTAGTCCCAGCTACTCAGGAGGCTGAGGTGGGAAGATTGCCTGAGGCTTAGGAGGTCAAGCTGTGGTGAGCTGTGCACTCCAGCTTGGATGACAGAGTGAGACCCTGGCTCAAAAAAAATTAAATATTATATTTTATGACTGTTAGTATAAAGGTGAAAAAAATCCAAGCTGAATTCACTATTATATATTCATTATTTTTATTCACTGTTTTCTTGTGGCTTAAAAAAACTAAATGAAAACACTTTCATGGGCCCCTAAAAGTACCGTGACCCCCAGGCTCTGTGCCCGCTGTGCCTGCTGGATAGGCTGGTCCTTGCCATGTGATGGGTGTGGAAATTCAGTTGTGAGCTGGGCTCGGTGGCTCAGCCTGTAATCCCGCACTTTGGAAGACTGAGGTGAGTGGATTGCCTGAGCCCGAGGGTTCGAGACCCACCTGGGCAACTTGGCGAGACCTCATCTCTACAACAAATCAAAAAATTAGCCGGGCGTGGTCGCCTGTGCCTGTAGTTCCGGCTACTTGGAAGGCTGAGTGGAAGGATCACCGGAGCCCAGCAGGTCGAGGCTACGGTGGCTGGGAGCATGCCACTGCACTCCAGACTGGGCGACAGAGTGAGACTCCAACTCAAAAAAAGAAAAAGAAATAAAAGAAAGAAAGAAATTCAGTTACACTCTGAAGAGTGGGTAGAAAGAATCTGAATTAGTGGAAAAGCAAGATTTTAATTAACTGCATGGGCAAATGGAGTCGGGAACGAAAATTACCTAAGCAGGGCAGTCTGGCTACCCAAAGTGAAGGGAGGTTGTGGGGAACAGAGGCGATGTGGGGAGCCCGAAAAACCTGACTGGAACGTCTGGGACAGGGTTGAGTCCACAGGGGAAATGACGGAATTCAGAGTCATCAGTACCCAGAGCTAGGTGAAGAAGGACCCACGCCCATCCATGACCAAGCTTTCGTCCATTCATGGCCACACAGGAACAATAAGGCAATGCAGTGAGTTTTATAAGGCCAAATTCATTCCATTTAAAGACCTGTTTTATTTATGAACTAGATTCTTCATAATTTGGGGAGTTAGAGACGTCCTTACTTTATAATGAAGTGAAGATCATGGCCTTAGTAAATAGTCATTTCTTTTAATGCCTTTACTTGACAAAATGAAAAATAACCCTAAATTGGCCTTAGAAATTATTTTGAATTTTTTATTGGGCCACAAAATCCAAAGGTGTTGAACTCACTTGACTAGAAAATCTCTTGCCTGTAGTCAAAAGCCCAAATTCTCAATGGTCCCAGTGCTGTACCAACCACATTGTTTGGGTTCAGTATTCCTTGTCCCCATCCTATTGGGACACAGGCCCCACAGTTCCAGGTGACTGTCACTTGGCTCCCACAGCTGTTATCTGGCTGCTTCCCTCCCCTTCATCTCACAGTGGCCACTACCTGCTACTCCCAGGGTCACCCTGGCTGTTCCTCCTCTCCTCCCCTCCCACTGGGAAGTGGATAATCATGGAAATCGATCTGAGAGGAAAATCTGATTCTCCGGCCTGCAAGAAATCGCTGTGCTTTCCTCACCTTGCTCATTCTGTCTGAGCTTAGGGTCTGTGGAGAAAATCACATTATTGGCTATCTGTAGGCCTGCACACATTGGTCCTTTTAGAGTAACAAGACACAGTAGAATATGGCAAGCTTGCCATGGCCTTGGCCAAGAGCAGCAAACTGGGGCTCACCTCATGGTGCTGATGTGCTGATGAGTGTGGATGGTGTCCTCCGCAGACACACTCCAGTAGGACTGTCTGAAAACAGAGAGACCGGGAGGAGAATCTTGGAGCACTCCAGCCAAGGTGAAGAGGACCTGAGACTTTGGCAGTGAGGATAAAGAAGAGAGGTCGGGCTGGGGATGTCTCAGATGGTGGAAAGGAAGTGGGCTGCATGATAGATGCCCTGCAGGGTGGAGGGATAAGTGAAAGAAGGGTCAATGATGCTTTCCCAAAATCAGTGTGTCTGTTATTCCTTCTCTTTGTGGACACACGATTGCACTGACCATTTAAAATTATTGTTTTCTGGCTCGAGTAGGTACCCAGGCTAACTTTAGAATGTTTCAGTATCCAGTTGAGTTTGTGATTCTTAGTAAATATGTGAATACTGCTCAGTATAAGTTATCAAATAATTTTATATATGACTTTGCAATAGTTTTATCTCAGTTACAGGACATTTCTGTTGATACCATATGAGTAAAGAAGCTTTAAAAGTGTGTCAATAAAATGTATGTTAGCAGATCGTGTCTAATTCATCACCATTAAGCATTGTAATTTTCAAAAACCCCACTTGAAATCACACACAGCATGAGGGTAACTCCACGTTGTCATTGCAATGAACACACAAATGCTGTAAATTACTAGATGGGATAGTGTACACAGCCATGGCTCATGAGAACCTGGGGATAAAAATTCTAAGATCTGAGCTTTCTTAATATTGTTTCCCTCAGTATTATAACTTAGTAGAATAGTCAAGCAAATAATATATCATTAAATTAGAAGTGCTGGTTTCTACCAACAAGCAGTTAGACACGTCTGAATTTGAATTCCAACCCCCAATCCACTTGCTACTCATATGAATCTGGGCGGGAACCTGATCCTACTGCCAAGAAGGGTTATGGTGGGAAAGTGAAATAGCATGCTGAATGCCTTGTGTATGCTCATTGTTTATCTTTCAAAGACAAACCTTTCTTGACTGTTTTTCATGGCATGATATCCAGAGACTCCCCTTGACTTTTCTAGCCTGTGATCTTGTGATCTTTTATTCCTTTTTCTTGGGGAGGGGGCGGGTAGAGGGATTGGTGGTGGCAGTTCTGGTGATTTTCTACCAGCTGCACACTTTTCTTTATTAAATTGGTCATATTAGGCCGGACACAGCACTTTGGGAGGCCAAGGCAGGAGGATCACTTGAGGCCAGGAGTTCAAGACCAGCCTAGGCAACATAGCAAGACTCTGTCTCTACAGTCAGTCAAGAAATAACTAAAAATTGTATTTTAAAAATTGTTCACATTACTTATTTAGTGTTTTAGTGTCAAACACAGGCCTATAATTGCTAGGTAACTAAATCTTGTAAATTCTTTCTCTAAATTCATCTCTAAAAACATAAATAAGGCTGTATTTTTATGTCTATTTCCTGAAGTTTCTGATACACCTTCAATATGTAGTCTATTTATTTTCCACAGACAGTAGTTCCTCGGGGAAGAACAGAAAAGAGGAAAATTATATTTTTGAGTCAAAGGGCGATCGAGGAGGACGGGAACACCCAGCTCCAGAAACAGGTAAATGTACACTTGGAAACCCATTGCAGAGTATAGACTTCTGCAGAGCTGCGTGTCCTCTGGTTGATGGTATCAGATGACACCGTGAGGGTTCATGAGAGGAGCAGTGATCTGGGGACAAGGAGAACTGCCTTCTCATTTCCTGTATCACTCTGCCTCTTGGGGCTCTTGATAGTAACCTGCCACCTTGAGACATCAGCTTCCTCATTTGTACACTTTTCCAGGTGTGACATCTGTGGAGAATGGCATCCCTGTGGCATGGTGTTTAGGAACACAGGCTCTAGAGTCAGACACCATCGTTCAAATCCTGATTTGACTACTAGACTCTGTGGCCTTGGGCAAGTTACCTTATCTCTCTGGATCTCACTTTCCTCTTTAGTAAGATGAGGACAATAGCTGCCTGATAGGGTTGCTAGGAGTGTGACAATGAACATAAAGCATTCAGTGACCTGTGTGGCCCAAATGATGAGCCAGATCTGTACATGGTGGTTGTTATTACTGAGTTATTTATGATGCGAGAATAATAAAGAGCTTATACCGAGTTCTCTTTCCAAGTGCTCTAGTGACCAACACAGATGACAGTAGGAATGCAGGAAAGTGCAGGAAGTAGAGCGAATATTCACTAAGTGAAAGAAAAAGACTGTATATTCATAATTTTGGTTGTTTTTAACTAGAAAGACATAGTCCTATAGAAAAGCAGGTGATAGTCTTAAATCCCACAAACTGATTAGTAGAAGAAAGCTTAGAAGAACAAAAGATGATTCTTAAATTATAGATCTAAACATTGAGAACACTGTCTTTTTAGAGAGAATATTCTTTGTAATATTTGGACAATGTTCAAATATAACTGTTAAACAATAGATGGCTAAGAATAATCCAAGTGTCAAGTACCTGGATGCCTCCCCCCTCATCTGCTGGCCTACTGGATTTAGCCTGTCTCAAGATATCTGAATAAAAGGGATCCTGCCCCCCATCATGGTATGAAGAAAAACCAGTCTGCCTCTTGCCCCCACACCCACATGTATCCAGATCATCTCAGTTCTAATTGTCCAGCATCCCTTCTAATACAACATATTTTAAATGATGCTCCCATTCATATGAACAAAATACATAAATATGTATTAGGTATTAGCTGGTTACTGAGAATACTATCATGGTGTGTTTTAAGAAGGAGCTGGAAAATGTTAAATTACAAATTACCCAAACTAAAGTCATGGAAGAAACTATGCCAACTAAGTGTTAAGAAGTTGAGAATAATTTTCAGTATTCTGGCAAGTACTTTATGAGAAGTTTTATTTTCTTTGTCATCAAAGCATTAAATGGAAATCACATTGGACATTCTGGCAACCCCCTGATTTGGCAAATAGAACATTTTCACATGCCTGTCTTATTGTTACCATAGCTAAGCCTGAGCCCACATGTTGGGGCTGAGGTCTTCAACCACAGCTTCCTTCCCGTTTAGCCTGAACCCTGGTTTCATCTTTAAACAAGTCAGACACATCTCTTATTCATTTTCCTGCTCCCAATAAGCAGAGCCAGAGCTGGTGGTGTGTTCCAATTTGTGAGAAATGACTTGGGATGCCGCAGTTTCTGTGGGGGTTGACCAGAGTATCTCTCTTTCTTTTGGTCCTGTTCCTTTGTAACATATCCAGTGTATGTGACTAGTGCATGAAGATGGAGGGAAAACTGATACCTGCAGGCCCGTTAGCACTGTCAAAGCGTCTTTCAATAGGGTGGCCACTAGGAGCCAGTAATGACTAATAAGGCCCCAAGCCATAGGCTTGGAGAAATCAAGCAGTGAATCTTGACACATCCAGAGAGCTGCCATGTGTGGAACATATGGGACAGTTCTGGAATCAAATTCTATACTGTGGGTTTTTCATAAATTTTTATCTTTCACAGTCCTCTGAGGGAATACTGGCCTTGCCCCAAACTGATTCCTAACAGACTCTAAAGCAATTTCCACATCCCCTCCTCCTACACCCAGACACTTCCAAACTCTTCTTGAGAATCTTGTTCAGGAGGTTTATCTGGGATTTCAAAAAGACATCAGAGATTGAAATGCCTTCAGTGTGTCATCAGCACCAGGTCCTCTTGTCTTCAGAAGGAGGTCAACTACACCTGGGACCAGTTTTAAGCCGAGAAAATCAAGGTTGTCTGGGATGAGCTTCTTCAGCTACCTACCCCTCCCCTAGATGTAAAATCCTCTCTGTGCACTCCTCTCTTCCAGTCCTAAAGGAAGAGGTGTCCCCTCTTCCCAAGGTGTCTCTCCCCTCATCTGGACATGGCCCCTGCTTTCCTCAGCTATGTCTCTCCATCCTCTGTTAGCTCCACTGCTTTTCATCTCTGTTTCCCTACTGATTCTTTCCCCTGATGAGCGCAGTCACATTCAGATCTCTCTTCAATGACTGCAGTCACATTCGGATCTCACTTAATATATAAAAAACCAACATGGCATCCCTCTGTCTTCAGTCTCCCTGTAAATGAATTGCCCGTTGCTGAATCCAGGGACTCTCCAGGCTTCCCTGGCTTGTCCTCTCCTTAGTATTTGATTCTGTTGAGCACTGTCTTCTCTGACCACTTTTTCCTTAGCTTCCAAGACCCTTCTTCCTTTTGCTTGTCCTCCTAGGTCTCTCAGTCTTTTTCGGCTCTTTTTGGTCTTCTCCTGTCTGCCCTCTAAATGTTAGTGTTTCCCAGGACCTTGTTACTGACCCTCCTGTCGTCTTCCTCTCTGGCAATCTTACCCACTTTCAGGACTGTAACAACCACCTTTATGCTACAGGCTCCCACATATTTAGGCCCAGATAATCTAAGAGTCTAAGAAAAATTCTACCTGATTGATCGCCTATTGGCATTATAATCTGAAAAGGCCAAAAAATACACTTATCTCCTTTAACCACCTAAGCAATCTCTATCATGCATCAAAATCACTTGAGCAAAATTCCTACAGATCAGACAGATAGGCCACTTCTTTTTACATTTGTACTTCCTATATAATTCTAACTACAATACTTGGTTGCATTTTTTTTCCCATTTAAATGTCCATCTACCCAGACTTCAAGTCACTGAAAAACTTTCATGTACCTTTTGGAGAAATAGTGTATCCTAGTGGTCAAAAACCACAGACTCGGGAGCTGTCTTGTCTGGGGTTGTGACCCAGCCCTGCCATTTACAATAGAAAAGCCACTTAATAATTGATGCCTTAGTTCCCTCATGTGTAAAATGAGGATCATAACAGTACCAACCCATTTGGTGGTTATGGGAATTCAGTGATCTTCACCATCTTTGGGGGGATATTTATTTATTTACTTACAAATAAAAATTGCTTATCATCTTTGATTACCAGCACTTATTCAGTGTCTAGCACATGGAAGGCTCTTAATTAATGCAGAATGGATGAATAAACGAATGAGAGAAAATGTTCTAGAATGAGCTTACACAAGGGAGATGTTTCTCCTCCTTTAGTTCCACCAGTTGGCAAGATCCCTGCAGCTGAAAATAGCTCCCCCATATCATCTCCAACCTGGCATGACTACAGAGTAGACCAGCCTAAGAATAGATCCTGCTGAGCTTGATAAGAAAGACTGGTCTGGGCACACCCTGTACCTTCCAGACTCCTGCGAGCCTCTAAAGGTTGCTTCGAGTCTGATGTCTAGGGTCAGCCCAGGAGGAAAAACTAAAGATGTTTTGCTGAACAACCCTTGGCCCAAATCACACCATACTATTTTGAAGTTAGTTTTCAACAAATATTCTACTGACTGTGAGTAGGTTCCCTGGATTTAGAAAAGGAAATAAATGTCTTAAGCCCTGGCCAGAACAAGAAATCAGGAGCTAGTTCATACTAACTTTAAGAGAGAATGATCATGTATGAATCCATGAGTATAATGTGACGATAAAAAAGTCATATGGTGTTCTCACTCATAAGTGGACCTTGAACAATTATCATAATACTATAAGAAAAGGATTGGCAGTAGTGGGAAACTGCCAGGGGAAGGGGGAGCACACCTCATTAACAAGGGTACCTGCATAATGAACATTTGTATACCTAACCCTGAATCGTACCCCACATCTTTAAAATAAAAAAATAAAAAAAAATAAATAAGTAAAGTCATATGGTAAGAATGTCTATTTCAGTTGGATACAAGGGTGATCTGATTGCAATATTTGTATCCACTGATGCCATGGAAGTTTTGTAGGAATATGGCACAGAATTTGGTTTTAAAGAGGTCTGTGAGCCATAGACCTATAAATTAAACATTATATACTTCTAAGCAAGTTATTTAATGTCTGTACAGTTAATACTAGTGCCAATTTGAGCTGTTCAGATTAAATAAAATAGCGCATGCAAAGTGCTTATTATATAGTAAATAGCAGCATTGTTTTAATCATTGACTTACCCTCTTCATTTTTAACTTTTCACAGGTGCAGTTCTGCCCCTGGCACTGGGCTTGGCTATCACTGCTTTGCTGCTGCTTATGGTTGCTTGCCGACTACGACTGGTGAAGCAGAAACTTAAGAAAGCTCGTCCCATTACATCTGAGGAATCAGACTACCTCATAAATGGGATGTATCTATAGTCATGTAATTTAAACAGCTTGGGGCAAGGACATGTTTCACTTATAATTTATACATATATTATGTTTTAGATATGTATAACCTCTTTTGTTTTTAATCGGGCCAGAAGATTCTGCAAATCCCAAAACTTTGTCTTTATTATTTATTGTAAAAACGTTTTCCTTGGACAATTTAGAGAGGAATTCATATGATTAAAGACTTTTACAAATTGAATTCTGATTTATGTAAGCTGTCCCTGAAAATAGAAATTTGTATTTAGCTAAGGCAGAAAGTTTAGTATCTCAGGAGGTGGTCCTGGGATGGCAGCGCTACCCCGTCACTTTTGAGAAGCCAGCCATTGGCTCCAGCAGCGCTGGATGCTGTAGGCACGACTTCCCCTTACTCTGTGACCCTGTTCTCCCTCCTATAAGCTCCCAATGCTCCTGTTTCTTTTCCCCTTCAAAATCTGTTTCTGAGAATGGAACTCAGTGAGTTTATACCTTCCATGAGATGTCACCTGTGGCAGGTATACCTCAGTTATAAACCTTATGAACAGGCCAGTGAGCCCCTGGGAAGAGGAAGGTGGGTTCTTCCCAAGGCCTCTGACTTCATGGCATGTAGGCGGCTGTCTTCTTAGGCTGATCTTTAGGATTAAAGACCCAGACTTTGGAGTACAAACAGCCGCATGATGGTCATGCAGTGAGACAGGAAACCAAGGTGGAAGCAGGAAACTTGCAGGCCAAAAATTTAACAGAAACTTAGGTGAGGGCAAAGTGAGCAAGGAGGATGGTTAATATTTCATTCTATCATCTCAACCCTGCTCCACAGTTAGTGCACAGCCACTTATTTACATATAGTGTTTGTTGATGGAAGAGAGCAAAATTGAGAAGCAGAACATTGGGTCAATTTCTGAGAACAGCTTTTATAAAAATGTTACCATGGTTCAGTATCAGTAAGTTCTTTGAGCCAGTGGAATGAGCCAGTTTTTATTTTTTAAGCTATAAAGTGTTCTGCCATCAGCTAATACCAGGTTTATGTATTTCTACAGTGAACACTAGTTTTTTCACAGGCTTATCTTTACACAAAACCAGCATCTAGCTTTGCATCTTTCCCTTTTTAATTTGTAGGCTTCTAAAGGCAAGTTATTAATATTTCCATCATCACTTAATGCCGGGATTATATACATTCTAGAAATGATTCCACTGAGAGGAATGTATAGGATGGTGCCTGTCTATACTCACATGATGTTCCTATCATATATATATATATATATATTTAACCCTAAGTGGCAAATTGTTTTAAACACTTGAAAAATATTCTAGAGTCTAGTACACTTTTAGATTGAACCTACAGTAGGTTGTTCATTTAGCAAATGGCTGACTTGGGTGGGAGATATATCAAAATATATCAGATGCAGTGGCACATGCCTGTAATCCCAGCACTTTGGGAAGTGGCGGCGAGAGGACTGCCTGTGCCCGGGGGTTCGAGATTAGCCTGGGTAACTTGATCAGATCTCATCAATACATCAAAAAATTAGCCAGGTGTGATGGCACATGCCTGTGGTTCCAGTTATTTGCAAGGCTGAGGTGGAAGGATCGCCTGAGCCCAGCAGGTCAAGGCTGTGGGGGCCATGAGCGTGCCACTGCACACCAGCCTGGGCAACAGTGAGACTCTGTCAAAAATAGATAAATAAATAAAAATATATTAACAAATAGAGTTAGTTCTAGGGTATCCTTTCTATTTTCTGAGAAACTCAAAGCAGTTTGAATGTCTGGGACTGAACAAAGATTTAAGTTGCTCAAGGACAGTTTAGAGAAATGAACTGTGAATGAACCTAAGAGGTTTGTACTCTGTAAGGCTGTGCAGTTTGTTTTTATATAGAAGTATGTCACCTATAGCCATACTCAATACAATAAAAATTGATGAGGCATGTATCCTTCAGCACATCTTTTATACATGAAGAAATTAAACACAATTTACTGTCGCCATGGTATTGAAATACTTGAAAAAAAGATGTCCAGCATCTATGTATACAATATTCCTTTAATAAATTGTATTTTGTTCTTAAGACTTTCTTACCTTTTAATATAATCATAAGTTGCTCGTATTGACTAAGCTATTTATTACTTTGTTATTTGGATTTAATCATACCACTCCTGTTTGACAAAGAATTGGAGAAAAGTGACTTGCCAAGGCAATGTCTACAAAATATTTCCATTAGCAGATAAACTGAATGGGACTTTTTAAAGTCTTCTTGCCTTGATTATCTGATTAAAGGAGTCCTTATCTAAGACAATTAAACAATATTTTTAAAGGGAAAGGTATCCACAATTTCTCAAATGTGGTTTTACATCTGTTTCCCTAAAAGAGACCCACTTAAGCCATCTTCCTGAACACTTAAAATTTTTTCCTTTCATTCTCAGTAGACAACAGCTACCCCTCCAGCCTTCCACAAGCATTTAATGTTTCAAATCATCTGAGCACCAAATATGTTCTTTCATAGGAAAATAACCGAATGCTTTCATCTTTCTCCCAATAACCTTTTGAAATCCTGTGACTTGGCCCTGCCCTGCTACATTTACCAGTGCCTCCTTTCAGTCACTGATGGTTGTTCATGTTGCTCTTTATTGTATTGTCCCTCGACCCAAACATGTGTATTTCTATTTGTCCTTCGGTTTTGCTGTACAAGGCAGACCTTGTTGATGACTCTACCCAGGTTTCACCTATATAGACATACTGCAGTACTGTACCCCAGAATACAGGCACCATCCTTACCCTCAGATGTTCCCTCAACATCATATTGATGATGCTTCCTTTTAAAGTTTATTTTATTTTAAAGATGTGGAGCATAATTCAGGGTTGGGTATACAAGTGGTCACTATTCAGGTAAAGTTTGGGCTTCCCTTTGGTCCTCATTTCTCCCGGTTTGAGATCAGGTGCCCTTATTGATGCTGTGTGTCCCCTCCACCCCCACCCCATGATGCTCAACACAGCACCTGAGCCTGCAATTCTGTCATTTGGGCTGGCTGTTAAATTATAAACCATTTCATGTTTTGGTTTTTCGTTGGGGATTATGCCACTTTGTTCCTAGGACAACTTCAATTATTTGCTTTCTGGACTCCATGTTTTCTACAAATTCTTTGCACTAAAACTGAATGAGAATTTTTAATAAGGACTGCCCAAGCTGCACACCAAGAGAACAAAGCTCAGTTTGCAGTATGCAGTATTCTTGTCTCACTGGCTTTTTAAGCACCTGTGTTGCAGACGTCTCATTCCTGGCTCCATTCCCCCAGCTGTTTTGCCCTACTGGATTCTAGTATTCTAAAGGTAGAGTATTTTCAGTCATAGCTACTTTTAATAGCTTAACGCTTATAGATTCTTCAGCTAAGTATAAAACCACCAAGGACAAAAATAAGGTTAGAAATCCCAAAGCTGAATGTTTTTCAGAATGGATGGAATGATTAAAACAGAGTCTTCTCCTGTATTTGCCTTATTTAGATCTCAGAATATCTTCATTCCTACTTATTTTCATTCTCAAATCACATCAGTTTGTTAAATCTTGCATGTTATCACACTGCAAATTGAAGAGATCAACTTATTCAGCTGAAAGATCTTTTAATAAAGTTATTTCATAACTTAGGAAACTTCTCAGAACAGATTTTTTGATTTTTTTTTTTTTGAGTCAAAGTCTTACTCTGTCAGCCAGGCTGGAGTGCAGTGGCATGATCTCAGTTCACCCTAGCCTCGACCTGTGACTCAGGCAATCCTTCCACCTTAGTCTTCCAAGTAGCTGGGACTACTGGCACACGCCACCATGCCCGGCTAAGTTTTCAATTTATTGTAGATGAGGTCTTGCCATGTTGCCCAGGCTCATCTTGAACTCCTGGGTTCAGGCAGCCATCATGCCTTGGTCTGCTAACGTGCTGGGATTACAGGTATGAGCTACCATACCTAGCTACAACAAATTTAAATACAAAAATAATTTTAACTTTCATAAAAAGCTTATGAAAAATTATGTTGCGTAAATGGACTTAAAATATTCTCTTGAATTTTCATTGTCAGTTTCATATGACTGTAGACTCAGAAATCTGAATAAATCAAAGAGCAGTATGATAACATTTTTAAAAGCTCCACAAACTAGAGAATTAGATAAATGTATTTATTATCTAGAAATTTGTGTATAAAGGAAGAAATCAGAACCATGAACTCCCTAGCCTGAGACCACAACTTTTAACTTGCTTTTTGCCAGTGAGGGTGATAGGCAGTAAATCTGACACTCCCTGAAATTCCTGCCTGTAACTTCCTGGTCTGCTTTATCCAACCCTGTTGCCTACCTCCTAATTGCTCAATAGAGTTGATTCTAAAGAAGGGCAATTCGTTTTTCCCCAGGAAATATCTTTTCTATAGTAGATTTTAAAGTGACACAATAGTCTTTATGTGGAAATTCTGCAGTCTCTTTGATCTATAATGTGTAGAAAAATCGTGACAGTATCATTACAATGGGGGGGTGCTAAACAAATAATGGTGGCAAAAGAAATTACTTCACCAGGTGATTTCTCTAGCCCATGCTAGCTAGCTCTAGCACGTCTATCCTTCTTTCCTCTCTTCTCTAATAAATTTTGTTTTAAAACTTAAAAAAATAAGAAAGAAATTACTCAACATGATCTGATCCTTTTGGGGCACTGGAGTGTTCACAGTGTGGAAACTCAAATTCCAATATCCCTAGTTGCCCCAAATCACTAAATTACTGCCCTCTCCATTAAAAAAAATGTCCTCACTATTGCCATCACCTGATCTTTGGACAAAAGAAAATTTTTTTTTTTTTTTGCAATGCCCACACTATTGGGACACTACTTGAGTTAGAAAGAGTTCAGCAGACCTGGAATATCCTCATATGGCAAAAGACAGACAAAAGGAAAGACTGAAAAGACAGGAAGACAGAAAGACAGGAAAGGGATGGGGAGAAAAAGAAAGAGAGAAACATACATCAGAGACTCTGAGGGACTCCCTGGCACAGTTTAACATTATATGGGAACCTAAAGTCAGCTCTGTTTTCTCTCCCACCAATCAAGGAGTATTTCATAAAGTCTTGGTACAAACAACACAAAGTCAGTTAAAAGATAAAGTAGGTCCAGTCACCGTGGTTCACACCTGTGATGCCAGTACTTTGGGAGGCGGAGGCAAGAGGACTGCCTGAGTCCAAGGGTTCAAGACCAGCCTGGGAAGCATGGCAA